CGGCCCAGCCCTCGCCTGCCGCAGCCTAGCGGAGCAGCCGCCGCGACCGGGCGCCCCCTGCGCCCCACTCGGCCTGGGGTGGTCTCCAGGGGCGCAGCGCTCCACGCGCCCGTCCGCGGGGCTGGACGCCCCAGGATCCAGGAGAGGAGGTGGGTGCTCAGGGGTTAGGACTGGGGGGCCGGGGCTCGGGAGGCTGTGATGGGCGCCGCTGACTCCTGACCCCGCGGCCCCTTTCCTTTCTGCAGCCCTTTGCACTTAAATGTCTGTTGAATTGAAAATAACTTCGTCGAGGTGTGACCACCTTCTCCAGCCCTGCGTGCCACCTTTAAAGGGTTAGATAAGGGGCAGGTTGGTGCCATCCGCCCCAGGACTCTGCAGAGCTGGCAAAAGGCCGAGTGGCCTTCGGACACCGAGCACCCTCTGATCCTCCAGGGGAAGCGTCGGGGACTACTTCCCCCACCTGTTTTTCTTTCTCCTTTTCTGGTGTGTTCTGTGAAGGGCGGCTGAGCTTCTCCCAGGGAAGGCACGTCTGCCGGTGCGACTTGCTTCGTGTTTGGGTCTCCTTAGGTGCGTCTTGCGGCTGAAGGTTGCTGCTTTCTGTAACATGTAACAGCTTGCTACAGATGAGTTCACTCAAAAATGAAAGCGCAGAAAGATAGGAAAGGAATGTGGGGAAACCAGCTTGTCTCATTTTGTCGTGAATTTCGTTGTAAGGGAATCGCCATCTATTGCCTAAATGAGAAGGGTTTTGATCTCCCAGGTTAGGAAAAGAAAAAACCTTATGTCTGATTGCCTGTGAAACAAGCAGGAAGGAGCCACCTTAAAAGAAAGGTTATTTTATGGGCAAAACATTTCAAATAACTAAACCTCAAATCCTAGCATCTTAGAAAGTGTAAGAATCTTGAAGTCAGACAGTTCAGTGCCAACTTATGAGTTTGACAATGAAGGGGTATCTTTACTGTCTCCTGGCTGGGAAAGATTCGTGTTATTAGAAACGCTTAGTAAAGGCTACTGAGAGTTTAGCTTATGTGATTTTAAGAGTTTTCTTTCATATTGCTGTTGCAACGTTATCAAGGACGTTTCCCAGCATAGTGGATGAGTCTGAAGTTAGAAAGACCTGGTAGGGCTTCACCGTCTAACTTGTTGTGTGACTTAGACAAGTAGCCTGATATCTCTTGAGCCTGAGTTTCTTCATTTCTAAAAGGGGTTGCTGAGAGGATGAAGGAGATTGCCTAACGACAGTAGTTATCACAGAGTATATCACCCAGTAAATGATACCTGAGGCTGATGACAGATGAGCAGATAGGGCCAAAATAATCATCACCTGGCACTGCCCACGCAAGGGGTCTCCACGCGGGTCTCTGCACTGAGAAGTATATACAGTGCATCATTGGGATCCTTCCAGTTGCAAAAACCTAAGGAGCTTCTGAACTGCTGAATTTGATTCCAGTATTTAAATCTGAAGAGGTTTGGCACAGATTTTGCTGTATTCAATTTAGTTATGTTGTGTATTTTGAGATTCCCTTATGCTTATAAACGTGCATTTTCAGATGAACACAAAACTGATATGACACTGCTTCTTTAATTATTGTTTATTCTTAAAATTAATTTTCCTAAGATGTCACCATAGTCCCTGGTTTAACATTGACTGGGTAGGGTGACAGGAAGAATTGAATCCTGGTGCTAATTTTTCAAGCAAGTGCAAGGGTAGACCAGCATCACCTGGAACTTGTTAGAAATGCAGGGTCTCCAGCCCACCTGCTGAATAGAATCTGCACCTTAAGATCCACAGGGGATTTCTATGAGCCCTCAGTTAGAGAAACCCTTTCTTAAGAATTTGAGTGTGTTGATGTTTCTCAAAAACAGGCCTTCTGAAAACATGGATTTCACATAAGCTGTCTTTACACCGTAAAGTGAAAAAGATTCATTATAACCATTTAAATAATTTTTAATAAAACGCCAGGAGTGGAAGTATCATTTCTTTCTGTTTAAAAGTAAGAGAGAGCCAACATCTCAAATTTTAAGTTCTGCCAATTTTGGATTCTTGTGTTCCTGTTACTCCCTGAAACATTTCAGTTTTGATACTGCTTAGCTTCTTTCTTTCTGGCTCCTCCAAGGAGGGGGAGACTATGGGTTTGAATTCCTTATCCCTATCTGTACTTTGAAGAGTGAGCATTTTATTTATGTCTGCCATTGATGTTTGGGAATCTTTTCCCGAAGGTGTACCTAAAAACTTAATTGATATTTATTAAAAACATTTATATATCAATTTTTATAGATATCAATATTTGTGGGAGGAAAGTAATACCTATGTATTAGAGATATTAGAGGTAGAGAAAGGTTTTAATGAATTCATTTTCAGAATCAACTTCATTGAGATGTAACTTGCATACAACAAAATGCTTTGAACTTTACCTTTAGAATCTGTGCATTTTATTGTATGCAAATTATACCTCAATAAAAGGATATCATGGAGGATCACCATGGTTTGTTGCCTATTGCTAGAACAGTTCAGAAAAGGTCAAGAAAAGTCAATAGAGAGGGAAAATGAAAATGGATGCATTGGGCAGACAAAAAAAATAAATAGGCAAGTCCTGGGGGAGTGGATGAATGGAAAGATAGAGTATGTAAATTTAGGTGGTTTGAGACCATTTTTACTATACCTATTGTCTTTAAAGTCAAGATGCTGAATTTAATATCTAGGGCACTGGGAACCCTGCAGAGTCTTTTAAGAGGAGGCTAAAATGAAAGATAAAAACAAGTTTTGCTCTACAAGGGCTACGGTCACGTTCCTGGCTCCATCTCTCACTCTGATCTATGTCTGCCTTTTATTCAGCAGACTTCTGCATTTGCCACAATGCTGGCATCTAGTGACTTTGCATCTGCTTCCTGGGAGCTCGTGGTCCGCGTTGACCATCCAAATGACGATGAGCAGAAAGATGTCACACTGAGAGTGTCCGGAGACCTGCATGTTGGGGGAGTGATGCTCAAGTTAGTAGAACAGATCAGTAAGTTTCTCTTTCCTTGTGCTTCCTCTGTATTTGAAACTGTCTCTATTGTATCGCCACTAAAAGGCTAAAGTTGTCAAAATCTAAGTAGTCTGATCATCCAGGTTTTTCTGATTATCCAGGTTTTTCCAAGGGAGCAAGTCCCCTCCCCCTCTCACCTTTCCCACAAAGAAGAGGAGAAATACAAGGGTACTTCACAAAGTTCATAGGAAGATTCATATTATCTTTTAATTCTATTTTTCCACAAACTTTGATGTACCCTTGTAGGGGGCTCTGCAAGAGCCTCAAAGTGAACTCAACCACCCTTGTAAAAACTTGGGTCTTTGATGGCAAACTAAAGTCCCCTAGTAGATATAATGCTATACTACCACAAGGGTGGGCCCCGTGTCACTGGTGACATCTAAAGTGACTTTAGGCAGCATGGCTATAGACTACTGTGTCAATTCTTTGTTAATACTTTATTGCTCGGTGATAAAGTCAGCTTGGTGCTAACGTGAATTTTAACCCTTATCAAAGTACATGCAGAAAAGTGCACTTATCTTAAGGGTATAATTCAATAAATTTTCTCAAAGTCATGTAACCACCATCCAGATCAAGAAATAGAACACTACCTATTCCCCCACCCAAGCTCCATACCTGACCCCTCCCAGTCACCACTCCACCGAGGTAATCCTAACACCACAAAAATAAGTATGCTTGCTTTTGAACTTTATATAAATGGAATTATATGGGATACACTCTTGTACATCTGCTTTTTTTCACTCAACATTATGTCTGTGAGATTCATCCAAATTGTTGCATATAGTTCTGGTTTCTTTATTTTTGTTGCTGTATAATATTCCATTGTATGAATATGCCACAATTTATTTGTCCATTTACCTCTTGATGCACATTTGGGTTGTTTCCATTTTCAGGTTCTTACAAATAGGGCTGCTGTAATACATGTCTTTTGGTGAGCATTTCTACTGGTTATATAGCTCAGAAAGGAAATGCTGAATCATAGGACTTTCCAAAATAGTGATACCAATTTATACTTCTACCAACAGCATTGAGAAAAAGGTTTTTTAATTTAGAAAGAGAAAGAAACCATTTAAAGACAAGTAAGTAAATAAAAATACTGGTGGCTCTTAATTTAGGAAAATAAAATATTGAATATTGTCTCCAACTTTGACAAAGGGAAAAGATTAAACTTTAATGCCAACAGTGAAGGAAAGAGTTTAAGTTGATGCTAACATTGAGAGGGAGAAAATATTCAACTCTGATTTCAATGTAGAAACTTTGGAAACTGGGAGTACAGCGATATTGACAAGAGCTGCACATTACTGAGAAGAGTGAAACGTCACTTTTACAGTACTTCTGTGTGGGCTTTCATTGGGGGCTGTTGATACTCCCTTGTGACCCAGTGGTGTAAGGATACATTTCTGTAAGAGAAATAATCTAGATTGAACAGTCAAATGCTTTTCGCCTTCCCAGAAAGGACAGTGGCACAGAGAGATTTTAGGGAGGAGAACTTTAGCATTCATCATGAACAAAAATTTTATGTTTCTGTTCTTTCCACAGTACTTAAATGTAAATGATTGTAAAGTTCAGGCAGTATTTTCTCCCTGACCTGCCTTGGAGACTTTAGAGAGAAGCCAAGGATTGGTGAGACTTCAACTGTAAAAGGAGAAGGGAAGAGGAAGATCAGTTGTTTGTTTCAGTTTTTGCACATGATGAAATGGACTCTGGAGTGCCTGGTCTCTCTCCATGCTCTGCTGTCTCTCATTTTATTTAATTGTGTTTTCCATTTTTGCAGACATAGCCCAAGACTGGTCAGACTTTGCTCTTTGGTGGGAACAGAAGCATTGCTGGCTTCTGAAAACCCACTGGACCCTGGACAAATGTGGAGTCCAGGCAGATGCAAAGCTGCTCTTCACCCCGCAGCATAAAATGCTTCGCCTTCGCCTGCCGAATGCGAAGATGGTGAGATTGCGAGTGAGCTTCTCGGCTGTGGTTTTTAAAGCTGTCAGTGATATCTGCAAAACCCTGAGTGAGTACCCTGGAGGGGCCCCTGTGCCTTTTAGACTCTTAGCAAAGGAAGACAAGAAAATCATAGCTGCTTCTGCCTATCGCAAATGGTTGGCTAGAGAACACTCTCTTACTAGGAAGCACGCCTTCCAGCCCAGTTCTGCAGCATTTAAGTAGAGTTAAACGAAATAGGATATTATTGGTGTAAATCAAATTCATTTCCACAAAAGAGATTTGTAAATAGAAGAGACAAACCATTAAGATTACCCCTGAAATTCATTTCTCCAAGCTATACTCACATCTTATTATATTTAAGACAAACATAAAAGAGTTCCATTCAGTCTTTCATCACTGTAGAGCTGATGCATCCTACTGTTTTAGAGAAAATAGTGTTGCAGGGTCTTAATTGCTTCATTAACACCTAGCTCCAGTGCATAGCTCTGTCCACAGAAATCACTGGTGGAGGTTTTTTTAAGAAAAAAGGTATACTTACTTCTGAATTGAATCCTAATTCTTTATCAAATGGTCTCCCGTAAGTTTAACAATCATAGGGACAACACCACCCAAACTATTTCTTCTTTATAGGACTCCATAAAGGGAGGGAAACTTGCACCCTGCAGGTGTTCTTATTTTATGTTTTTTGAAGATGTATAGGTATGTTCTTTGGTTCCAAGGCCAAAAGTCAGCATTCGAGCACAGAATAGATAATACATCAGTGAGTGATCTGTCTAACCCATTGAACTATATACCGCTTCATTCATTCATTCAATAAATATGAGCACCTACTATGTGCCAGGCATCGTCGGGAGTGTTAGGAATACATTAGCGATAAAGATAGATAAAATCCCTGCCCTCCTGGAGTTTTCATTCTAGCAGGCAGAGACAAATAATAACCAATAAATGTAATAAATAAGAAAAGAATATAGGGTGTTAAAAGGGGATAGGTGGTAGGGAAAAAGTGCCAACAGGATTGGGAATGCCAGTGCTGGGCAGTGGAGGCCAGTATGGTGTGAAATAGGGTGAAGCCAGAAACCGCTTCCTGAGTACCTCTGTGCTCCGACCTCCTAGCGCGGTGCCTGGCTCACAGCTGCTCAGTAACTGTTTGTTGAGTGAACAAATGAGAGGAACCTTCCATTACAGAACATGAGTCCCCATAGTGTCCCTGGTGCATGGTTGGCAAATGGCCAACTGGAGGACACCTCGTTTTCAGTAATATTCTAATGAAGATTTGAAAACAAAGTAAATGGTTAAATAAAATAGTCTATTCCACACACCACATATCAAAACTAAGGCCAAAAACTTGAGGTTTCAAAATAAACAGAAGCAGTCAGATGTTCTCTTTTCCTGATTATATTTGTGGTAGTTTTTAGGGCTCAACTTGGCATTTCTAATCATTGTTCTTTGTATCTGATCCATTGAAGCTAAATCACATTTAGCAGTATAATAGTTTTTCCTTTGAAGAACAGAAAAGACACAAATTTTGGGCTGGTGATACAGGCTCTGTTGTTTTATTTTTAATGCTTTCACTGAAATTTTTGGTTCATCACCAGGCTTGTGTATAAATTATGCATTTGGAATGGTCACAGGTGTGTGTTGCAACCTGACAATCAAACGTCCTCTGCTGACTGGGGAGTCGAGCTGAATGGCTGGCCCCAGTCTGGGCACTAAGCAGTGTGTGAACTGAGGAGATCAGAGGACCTGATGGGATCAGTGCATTCACCTCCATTAAAGCTGCCAGAGACTCAAAACACCCACATTCCTGGGCCTTTACCTGGGATTATAGTCATTCAGTGTGGTTAATGGTTATCAGCAGTTCAGACCAGGAATTATAAATATTCAAGTACAAATGGGGGGTAATGCCAGAAAACACTGGGTCATGGTAGAGAAGTGAGACTGGGAAGAGAAGGCCACCAATAAGAGTGTGTCACCAGCCAAGTCACGCTTCAGCAGCTGGGGAATTCTGGGAGACAGTGTAGATGCTCCTCAGGGCTGTTCTATCCAAGAGGCAAGGGTGTTTCATCACCATGCCTGTCAGTCACCAAGGGCTACTCTCGGGGAGCATTAATTCCCTGAACCTGTGGGCTGTTGTGTGTGTGGCCAGTGCAGACCCTGGCCAGCCTCCAGAGCAAGCCCTCCAGCAGAGACGCATGTTCTAGATGCATCTAGATTAGAAGACAAGTCAGTGAGCACTGAAATGGTGAGAGCCACGGAGGGACGGGCAGGGCATCCGCTGCCCAGATGAAATGGGCTGCTGGGCAGAGTGTCCTGGAAAGCCTTTCAGGGTCTGTGGTCCAGAAAGAAAAAAGGAGGCGGGGCCCTTGACTGTTTCAAAAAACAAAAAAAAGAAAAAGGAAGGGCGGGAAGAAAGAGAGAAAAGGGTTGGTGGTAAATAGATACAGGAAGAGCAACATGCTAGCAGTTGTTGAACCTGGGTGGTGAGCACACGAACGCGGCACTGTACTGTCCCCTTTGCTTTGCATATGTTTGAAATATCTTCATAGTAAGTGCTTTTAAAAACTAGATATTTTACTAGACTGAATCTCCCTCCACTATTTTCCCCCCACCCACTTTGGGGTTTCTGTTCCCTTTCTATTTCTTCAAAAGGGAGTGCAGTTTAGTTCCATTTACTTTTCCAGAATTTCCCAAGGAGCTATTTCACGTGCACAAAAGAATGCTGAGTCTTAGGAGGAATTTTCTTGTTACTTTTCTTTTTTAACCTCTTGTGTTACTTTTAATTTTATTTTTAGATATTAGAAGATCAGAAGAGCTTTCCTTGTTAAAGCCTTCTAGTGATTTTTTTAAGAAGAAGAAGAAAAAAGACAAAAATAATAAGGAACCCATAATTGAAGATATTCTAAACCTGGAAAGTTCTCCAACGATTTCAGGTTCACCAGGTAAGATTTGGGACAGGCATTTTGTTGTTTTAATCTGTGACTGTAGAGTAAAACCCAAGAGGAAAATATACCTCCCTCTCCCCACTCTTCAAAAAAAGGAGGAATAAAGTTGCAGGATTGATGGGATACGCGAAGGATATCCCGTTAAGATTAGAATTACCAGAAATTTATTTCAGACCTTTTTTCCAACAGATAAGCTTAATTACTTATTTTAATTGTATATCATATGTTGCTGATGAATGAATATTTTAGTACAGCTGGCCATGAATTTGGGATACAAGAGTAATATTTGGAATGGAGTTAAGTTGAATCACTCAAATATACTTCCCTTTTCCTGATTCTATCTTTGATTCTTTCCTGAATTCAATTTTTCATTCAGGGCATGTAAGGGGAGGAAAGATAAAAATTCTGGAGAGGAATCATCCCTTTCTTTTTATACCAAAATAATCAAATCTCTAGCTTGCTTGTAGCATCAAGGGCTTTCTTGCATAGTACGTTCCAGTGCAAAGAACAAAAGGGGTATTTGTACTTTATGCAAATTAGAGCCAGATTATCCATCTGTTGGATTCTTAAAATCGGCAAGTGCTGCTTTTTGTTTAAGGGACTGTCTGAAACATACTGTGTATGTGCATTCTGTGAGGTCTCCGGTTGTCTGATAGTGCCAAGACTCCTGCTCAAATGGGGGAACTATGAGTCATTAGAAAAGAAGTGGTCCCCAACATTTGTCTGTGTCAGCTTTTGGAAGCTTTTACATCTTTGAGTTCCCAGGCTTTCTAGGAATATATGGACAACTGTTTGAATGAATATACAGGAAAATGTTTCATCTGTGTATAACTAATCTCCCTACCAGTTATGACTCGTGATTATTTTTAAGGGTACAAACATTTAAAATAAAAATTCATTTCAGTATATGTAATGTTAGCACTTGTTTTTCTAAAGAGTCCTACCCCTGAATCTCATACCACAGCGTGTGCTCCCTTGCCTTGCAGTAAGTCCTGGCTTATACAGTAAAACCATGACTCCTACCTATGACCCCATCAACGGAACACCAGCGTCATCCACCATGACTTGGTTCACTGACAGCCCTTTGACCGAACAGAACTGCAGCATCCTCGCCTTCAGCCAACCCTGCCAGTCACCAGAAGCACTTGCTGAGATGTTCCAGCCTCGTTCTCTGGTTGACAAAGCCAAGCTTAATGCAGGGTAAGCACAGGGCTGCATTTTGCATCTCTCTGAGATGGTATTGACATAGTAAGAGAGATGTCACAGAGATGGGGTGAAATGTTTAATTTTTAAGTTAGTAGACCTGGAATTGTACTTTATTTGCAAAAGTCAGGGCTGATTTTAGCAACAAAAGGGGAAAATGCAGACTTTGGTCATTTCAGTACATTTAAAGTGTGACAAAATTTACGTGTTTGGGTAACTCAGTGGATTGCCATATGTGAATACTAATCCTTTGCTGTTAGAGGTGTACAAAGTATGTTTTATGGAATGGAGAGCAGTTTATGAGTGTGTTGGTTCCCTTGATCAGAGGGGGAGATACCTACCTTTAAGACCCAACCACATGCTGTCCCCTTCTCAAGTATCATCCACCGTTCAAGATCGGTCACTTGCCTGTGGTTCCGGTCTAACACTTTGTTTGCTCACGTCACATTTGTTTCTTTATTTTGAGGCTTGGTCTCCCCCACTGGACTGTCAACTCCATTAGGTTATCCTTGTTCCCCCACAGGGCCTAATAATAATGGAAGTTCGTTTTGTTATTAACTTTTAATCTCCACCCCTTGCCATTACCCAGCTTTTATTTTTCAACTCTAGGACTGTACTATCCAATTTCCTAGTTCAGGAATTGCAAGCCACATGCGGATATTTAAATTTAAATTTGAATTAATTAAAATGTGGCACTAATGACATTTAAATATTCAACAGCCATATGTGGCTAGATGCTAACATACTGGACAACACAGATGAATATTTCCTACATTGCAGAAAGTTCTAGACAATAAGGTAGAGCTGGGTTTGGGATGAGCCACCTGGTGCAGTGGAGAGGCTGTGTGGACAGTCAGAACTACAGATTCTCATGCCAGCTCCACCTTGAAAGGATCATCTAGTGTTGCCGAGACTCCGCTTTCTCATCCATATGACTGAGATAATAAGAACTGCCCTGGCTTTTTCACTGGGTTACTTTAAATTGTCAATGAGAAAAAAAAAATATATATATATATATGCATATATAAAGCACTTTGAAAACTATGAGATAGAATGCAAATATGAACTAACATGATGTGCTTAGTGGTTTTTTGTTATATTACTTACTCTGACTTTGTTCAAGAATATATGTATATGTGATATATAACATAATATAATGGGTATCTATGGAAAATTGATTGACTTAAAACTCATCCTGTTGTTGTCTAGTTGGCTGGACTCCTCGCGCTCCCTTATGGAACAAGGCATCCAGGAGGATGAGCAGTTGCTGTTACGATTTAAATACTACACTTTCTTTGACTTGAATCCTAAAGTAAGAACTTTTTTCTCTTCTCTCTCTCATTTTCTGTCTTGTAATGTGAATGCGTGGAAGTCTCAAATTGAGCCATTTGGTTATCCAAATCGGGATTAATTGCTTAGTGATCTTCTGTTTCACTCTGCAGGGTTAGACTGACACACGCACACTGGTCTCTGAATTTTCACTGTTTGGTTTCTAGTGAGCATGGCAGGTTGTCCCTGAGTTAACAGGAGTCACTAGCGGTCTTTGTGTCCAGCACACTGTACACTGCCCCTCTCCATTTGCAGGAATGAACAAGAGAGCATGGTGCACAGGACCGGAGTCCTGGGTGCTTGGGAAGGAAAGGATCTGTTGAGGGCCAGGGTTAAGGGCAGGTTACCATGAACAAGCCAGAACCATACAATGGTGCACACAGACTCTCCCCTGCAGTGCTTAAGAAGTCTTTGGAAATGAGAAAAAGGGATCATATCTGTGTAAGTAAGACCCCAGCCGGTCACCAGCTCCATTTTCAGTGCACATCTTCCACATGAAGTTTATTCAGACAACTAATGAGGGATGGGATAAGTCCCTTGAATTTCTGCCCTCTCCTTGCTCCTGGCTGGCTCATATGTGGAGCTGTGAATCAGCAGGTAAATGGCCCAGAGCAGAAAATGTAAACTGGATGACATCACTGCATTGTTTCCCTTCCAGTTTCAGTCGCCTTTTTCCATTTACTGCTGGGCTCGTGTTCAAGGCACTTGCCTGGTCAGCCTTTCCGAACAGCCCTTTTCTCATCTGCAGCAGTGTTTCTGCTTCTCCTGGCACTCTCTTCTCCATGGTCCTGATTTTAAGTCTGGTCTTCACAGGCCCACCTGGGCTCCTGCCTCCCTCGCTGGTGTCTCCTTCAGCATAAAGCTTATTCCTCGTCGTCCTGCTCAATCCTTAGTTTAGACCCAAGTTGAAGCTCACAGGCCTCGCTTGTGCCTGGATTGTGTTAACTCCCAGGGAATCATGGCAAAAAGACAAATTTCAGCTCTTCTTTGATAAAACCTTCAAAAGAAATTACTGCCTTTCCTAAACAATTGGTTTGATTTTTTTTTTAATGGCACTGTGAATTATGCAACTGTCCAGGTTTTCTTTTTTGCATTGTCTGCTGGTTTCATTTTCTGTGGTTTCACTTTTAAGTCTCATTCCTGATTCAACTGCAGTCTTTCCTTGCTAAATTCTCAGTTAATTTAAGCTATCATATATACTGTCTATTCTAATAAGATACCTAAAAATTTTTTCTTACACTAGATAATACATAATAAAATAAAGTATACCCACGCTTTTTCTAATTACTAGCTCAGTAATTTAGTCCCATCTTGTCTATTTAATCTCATGCCCTGTCTATTATTTACTGAGCAAGTACTATATGACAAGAACTAAGTCAGATACTGAGAACCCAAAATTATCAAAGATTCGAATAAGGTTTTCAAATTAATAAAATAAAATAAATAGGATTACAAAATGAAAGTTATATTGAACTATAGGAACCAAAATCTTTTTCAAAATGGATATAGTGATACGTGTGTTTCTTAATGAATAGGATAAATAATATCTAGTGGCAAGTCTCATAACTACCATAATTTCAAAGTACTGATATATGTGAGCACTATTTGAAGACAGAAGCAACAACTGTGAAACGGTAGGGAAAACTCTGTGATTCTGGTGGTCACAAAGTCACAAATACTCAGTAATACATGGTTTATTGTCTATGTTCATGATGGAAAGAAATGTTCAATTTCCATTAGAAGTTTGTTGAAATGGGAATGTAGTTTTTTCTCATCCAAGCTGACGGACCACCTGAATTCAGACTCCCAAGTCCAAGAACCCCAGATTCAGAACCCCTGTACTGAAACCAACTTCAAATATTATTTTCCTTCCAGAAAGGAGCTTTTCTATACTCTTGGTCACATTGGCCTTTCCCTTCTCTGAGCCACACTGAGTACTGTACAATCTCAGGCCTCCCAGCTCTGATCATACCACATTTGTGGATTATTTTCTACAAAGAGACTGCAACGTCAGAGACAGGGACCACATCTGACACTTCCTTTGCCCTTCACCCCCATGTGCTGCAAGGATGCTGAGAGTCACCCTTTCCCAGTTATCACCTGATCAGTGACAGGATCACCTGGCCCTTGGGGACCCTCTCAGCAATATACTTGCCAAGCATTCCCCATTAAATCCCCTGCTTGTAGGTCAAAGTACAAATTAATCTAGCCTCTATGGAAGGTAATTTGGCAATAGCTATCAGAATTACAATTCTATATAGCTTTGACCTGCTGAATCTACTCCTAGGTATTTATACTACAGTTATACTCACACATGTGAATTGACATGTATGTTCACAAGGACGGTTATTAATACATTATCTGTTTTAGGAAAAGATTGGAAATCACCTAAATGTCTATAGGGAACTGGTTAAATACATTACGATACATATATACCACATTGTTGTTAAAAGAATGAATCAGTTCTCTTTTGATTTGGAACATACTCAAGGTATATTATTGAATGAAAAGAGCAAGATGCAGGGCCGAGCCCATGGCGCACTCAGGAGAGTGCGGCGCTGGGAGCACAGTAACGCTCCTGCCACGGGTTTGGATCCTATATAGGGATGGCCGGTGCGCTCACAGCGCTCACTGGCTGAGTGCGGTGCAGCCAGTCTCAAAAAGGACAAAAAAAAAAACAAGATGCAAACAGTCCATAGAGAACCTGCCGTGGGCGAGGAACAAGGAAATGAGGGAGGCTAACTTTTTATTGTGTACCCTTTAGTCTCTTGAATTCATTCAAAATGAATCCATTAATTGTATATTTTTTTGCCTTTTAAAATATGTTCAAATGTGTGAATTAAAAAAAAAAAAATCGAGGGTCTGGCCAGTTAGCTCAGTTAGTTAGAGCGTGGTGCTGATAACACCAAGATCATTGTACCGGCCAGTTGCCAAAAATAAACAAGTAAATTTTAAAAATAAATAAAATTAAAAAAAAAACTTTTTATAACCCTGACAGTTCATGATATTTTAATGTTCAGATAAAAAGGCATATCAGTTTTAATAAGAGGCCTGGAGGATACCAAATGCTGCTACCCAGCTAATAGGGAGTCTTAAGTGATTAGATCTAAATAGTAACCCGTTCTTGAGAGCGTGGAAAATATGATGAGTAGGTTTTGTTAGTTATTTGTGTTGTTGGTGGAGGGAAGAGCGTTTACTGAACTAACTAGACAGGAAGAAACAGGGATTTGAGGAGTGAAAGTGGCAGGATCCATGTGCTTCTGGCTTGGGGTTTCTATTTTCAGTTAACCAGGAGACAAAGGAAATCTAGGACTAAGGAGAGGGCATGAGCAGCCAGTGCCCAGCAAGGGTAAAGTGTGTTCCTCAGTCACTGGAGAACCCACTAGAAGAGTTCTCAGAGATAAGGCAACCTGTAGGATGCCTGTTAAGTATCTTCGAAAGAGCCCGCCACCTCATGGCGCTGCAGCCCCGTGGTGGGAATGGGAGCCTCCCCAGAGGAGACTCTAAAGCTTTGCTGGACACAGGAGAGAAATCCCGTGTGACTCGGTGAAGGACAGGGCTCATCCTGCATCAAGTTGTGACATCTTATTCTAGATCCTGTTTTTTTCTTCATGTTAATTTGTAAGTGTGGATAACTTTTATTTAAATAATAGTCTTTCAAAGAGTTGTTTTGTTTAGCTGGCGGAGTGGAGGGTGTGTAAGGATGTTCAGGTGTGGAAGCTTTTACTACATTTTTTTTTAATTTATTAACTGCATTGGAGAGAAGTGTTATTGAGGGACTCAATTTATTCCTACTGGAACTTCTACAGCATGTGGATTGTAAACACTGGGACAGTGGCTGACAGAAAGACAGACAGATATTACAGTTTGCTAATCCAATTCAAATTTCAGTGGCTGCACATACTACTTAGATTTTGGCTGTAAACTGTGAATTAAAGCAGGGGTCTTTTGGAGGGGTTGGCTGCATGGGTTTTTTGGTGTGCATTGTGTGTGGGGTTTTTAGTTGTCATGTTTTGATTGCACTTATAATTTACATACCATGTGTAAGTGTACGATACAATGATTTTTAATGAAGTTATACAGGCATGCAGCCATCACCACAATCCAGTTTTAAAACACTTCCATAGTCCAAAAAGTTTCCTCAAACCCATTTTTGCCCCAAGCCCCAGCCCCAGCCCTAGACAACCACTGATCTGCTTTCTGCCTGAGTTTTGCCTTTTCTCAAGATTTCATGTAGGTGGCCTCAAACAGTATATATTCTTTTGCGTGTGGATTCTTTCATCAGGCAAAGTGTTTGAGGTGTATGTGTTGTTGCCTGTATTAGCAGTTCATTCCTTTTTATTGCCGAGTGGTGCCCCATCCTGTGGCTGTACCACATTTGGTTCCATTCACCAGCTGAGGGACATTGGATTCTTTTCAGTTTGGGGCTATTATGAATAATGCTGCTGTAAATATTCTCTTGTGTGTTTTGTTTTCCTTTGCTTCTGGAAGATTCTGAGCCAGTTCCTGAGGTGTTCTGTGACACCTGGCAAAGTTCATAAAACAAAGACAGGATTCTTATTCTTCCAGTCTCCTGAACACTGCGCACCTGTCCCTATGTTTGTCTGCCTTTCCCAGCAACTTTAGAAAGGTCAAGAAGGAGCTGCCCGTGTAGCCGGCCACGTTTCCCATTTACCTGAGAGCAACACTGTTGGTTTTGGCTTACTTCAAGTTTTTGCATTCCCTATCACCTTTTTTCTAAGTATGCATAGGTTAATGCAAGAGGAAAAATAAACTAATGTTAATCAACTCATGATAAATCTGCTTAAGTACTATGAGTATTTTTCTATTCTTCCTCCATGTTTTCTTCAACATTTTTATTTTTTGCAAAGGATGTAGTAAAATGTATACTCAAAGTAAAAAAAAATATCTAACACAGGAGTACAGAGTTCTTTTTTTTTTTCCTTTTTGTCTTTTTTCGTGACCCGCAACGGATCGCAACCCTCGGTGTTGCGCCCGCACCTCGCTCAGCCAGTGAGCCGCCGGTCTGTATGTGGGATCCGAACCCTCGGTGGGAACGCCGCTGCGCTCCCAAGCAGCGCACTGTAGCAGTGCGCCACCGGGCCGGCCCAAGGAGTACAGAGTTCTACAAGATGAAAAGGGCTCTGGAGATGGATGGTGGTGACGGTTGCACAACAACGTGACAGTACTTAATGGCACTGAGCTTTGCACTTAAAAATAGTTAAAATGGTAAATTTTACATGATATGTATTTTACCGCAATTAAAATTAATTTTTAAAAAATCAAACATAATAAAAGAATTACTTAGAGTAAAATAAAAACTCGTCCTTTACCATGGCCTTTCTCCTAAGAGGCAGACACAGTGAACAGCTGCACGACCAATCATTTTTGTAGTCTTTTCACGTGTATTTACAAATGTTTTATAAACTGATTTTCAGAACCTTGTATTCCCTATATAGACAGGATCATTTATTTGCTCCATAACTTCCCTCTTTTTACCTAATAATATAACATGGCCATCTTTTCATGTCAGTATATGGAAGTCTGACACTTTTTTTAACCATTGCAAAATAAACTAGGATTTAGCCTTTCCTTTAATTACAAGGACTCAAATGTGGTGAACATTTTTATAAAAATGTCTTTGATGAGTGCTTGCCCTAGATGTGCTCATCACAGGACAATAGGATCCTGAAAGATACTGCCCAGTTGCCTTCCTAAAAACTGTGTCTGTGAAAGTGCAAATTTTCCCATGTTTTTACCAACACCAGATGTTATCAGTACTCATAAATTGGGCAAATCTGATAAGAGAAATAGAAATTATGTCATCTTGTTTTAATTTGAATTCTCTAATTATTAGTGAGGTTGAACATCTTTTTCAATGTTTATATGACCATTCTGGTTTCTTCTGTGAATTGCCTGTTTATGTTTGCCCCAAAATCCTATTGAATTATTTGTTTTTTTCATATTGACTTATAGGAACACTTTGCAAATGATGGATATTATCTTTTATATTCACTGCAAATAATTTCTTGCAAACTGTACCTTGTCTTGTAAATTTATAATATTTAGGGTGTTTTTCACCCTAAAGGTTTAGGTTGTCAAGTCAGTCTTAGGCATTATAACTTTTAGGCTTCCTGTCTTGCTTACAAAGTCCTTCCCCCTTTAAAGATTGCAGAAAGTAAGCTGGCCAGTTAGCTCAGTTGGGTAGAGCATGGTGCTGATAATACCAAGGTACAGGATTTGATCCTTGTACTGGCCAGCAAAAAAAAAAAAAAGATCACAGAAAGTAGTTTTTCTTGTGTTTCCTTCTGATAATAGTTTTGGTTTATATTGTCTAGATTTTTTATAACAGCTTTTTGAGATATAACTCACATACCATACATTTCATCCATTTAAATTTAATATGTACAATTCAATGGTTTTAGTATATTCCCAGAGTTGTGCAACCATCACTACTATCTAATTTCAGAACATTTTCATTACCCCAATAGGAAACCATACACATTTCCCTTCAACTCCCCGAGCCCTAGGCAACCATCAGTCTGTTTTCTGTCTATGTATTTCCCTATTCCGGACATTTCCTATGAATGGAATTATATGACATATGGTACTTTATGACTACTTTGTTTCACTTAGCATAATATTTCCAAAGTTCATACTGTAGCATGTGTCAATATTTCATTTCTTTTTATTGCTAAATAATATTCCATGTTATATATATATAAATATATAAATATAGATTATATATACTATATCTATTCATTTGTCAGTCAGTGGGCATTTGGATTGTTTCCACTTTTTGGCTATTATTGATAATGCTGCTGTGAACATTCATGTACAAGTTTGGAGGGGTTGACTTTTTATTGTGCCATTTTAACCATTTTTAGGTGTACAATTCAGTGCCATTAAATACATGCACAATGTTGTACAACTGTTACCACTATCCATTTTCAGAACTTGTTCATCATCCCAAAGAGAAATTCTGTACCCATTAAACAATAATTCCCTATCCCCTCATAATCTCTGTTCTACTTTCTGTCTCTATGAATTTGCCTATCCTAGGTGGCTCATGTAAGTGAAATCATACAATATTTGTCCTTTTGTGTCTCGCTTATTTCACTTAGTGTAATGCGTTCAAGATTCATCCATGTTGCATCATGTATCAGAATTTCATTCCTTTTTAAGGCTGAGTAGTATTCCATTGTATGTATGTGCTACATTTTGTTTGTTCATTCATCTGCTGATGGACCTTGGGGTTGTTTCTACCTTTTGGGCATCATGAGTATGCTGCTATGAACATTGGTTTACAAGTGTCTGAGTCCCTGCTTTCCATTTGTTTGGATCTATACTAGGAGTGGAATTGCTGGATCATATGCTATGTTTGAGTCTCACTGCCAGACTGTATCCTACAGAGGCTGTACCATTTTATATCCAGCAGTGCACAAATGTTCGAATTTCTCCACTTCCTAGCCATGCTAGTTATCTGTCTTTTAGATTAGAGCCATCCTTGTAGGTGTGAAGTAGTATCTCATGTGGTTTTGTGCATTTAAATTCTTTAATTCATCTGTAGTTAATATTTTTGGATTGTGTCATCGTTTTCGTTTTGGGTTCTTGTTCCTCAAATGGCTAGGCATTTTCAACACTGTTTATGGTATTAATATTCTCTTCCCCTACTGACATAAAATGCCATTTTTATTTTATATTAAACTTATATACATACATAGGTCTGTTTCTAGATATTGCTTTATTGGTACTTTATTGATCACTATACCAATACTACACCATTTTAATTACTGCAGCTTTATGATATGTTTTAAAGTCTGAGAGGACAAGTGACTCCCCCAACATGGTTCTTTTTTCCTCAAAATTTCCTTTGTCATAATTGAACATTGTGCCTTCCAGACTAATTTAAGAATTGGCTTGTATAAATTTCTATTAAAAAATACTTGTCAGATTCTGCTTGGGAGTACACTGAGTTTGCAGATTGGTTTGGGGGTCCCTTCTCCTTTACACTGTTTATCATGAAACCATTTTCACTGTGTGTTTTTACTACCAGTAAAAGTGTGATTTAAAAAAAAAGAGGGAAAATAATGGAGTCTAAGATGGGTTCATTTACCCCTTTGAAGAAGCTCTAGAGGGCTGGCCAGTTGATTAGAGCCTATGGTGTTTGTAGTAACACTATGGCCAAGGGTTCGGCTCTCCATACAGGCCAGCTGCAAAAAAAAAAAAAAAAGGTCTAGAAAATATTTGGGGAAAGAAAGTCCTGAATTCAGTAGTAAAATGAGCCGTGGGAAGGGAATGGTGTCCTTTTCAGTTACCTGAGCTAAAGGGTATCGCACCTGATCAACAGGGGAATGGCCTCAATTATTCCAGAATTTTTGTATTGTGGAATATAAGTATAACCCCCTACTCCTTACTCTGTCCTTCAATAGTGCCCTGATATACACATGTACACTCCCAAATGCTTCTGACAAATTCTATTTATTCCTCAATTCCACATTTAAAAATAATTGCATCTGGGAAGTATTCCCTGATCCCATATATAGACTAGATACAGTTTTTATGTACTTTGAAATCTCCTTATATTTCCCCGATCATCATGATTTTCACCTTGGGATTTCAATTCTACCTGCATTCCTCCCCTCTTGGTTGCACAATGTAAGCACACGGATTAGCACATTGTAGGTAGCCAATAATTGGCAGATGAGTTAAATTGATTAGTAGTCATGAACTTATTCTTAAATTATTGAGTTGTATTTTAAATCAGATTGTTTAAAAAGAGTGTGCTGGCTCATGTTATGTCAAATTGGCTAAGGCTGGTTGCTGTTTTCCAGAATCATTTTCTCTATGCACTTCTGAGTAAGAGTTAGCTAAAAGTACATGTGATTTGACGTAATAACTTCGTATAGCATACATTATACGAAGTTATACGACTTTGAAGAAAAAGCTGAAAATTAAGGGAGTGAACTTTAATTTAAAATGCTCCTCACAGTGCACACATGTGCACATCCTATGAAAGGCATCCGTCCTGCCACTCTTAGCTCTTCTCTGCTACAAGCAAGGTCAGTGATGGGCAAGAAGCAAGTCTGAACATGACTAACCATAAATCTCAGAATGATTCAGATTAAAGGGTCATTTTCTCTGCGTAGGAGAGAGATCTCCTTTCAGGAGATGTTCAGTATTTCAAGGCAATCGTCTTCAAAGAAGAAATGGCTAATGGGCACATTTGTGTGTCATATTTCTAAAACCTCTGTTTTCCTTTTAGTATCACATTAGCAAACTGTCATCGTCCGCTGAGATACAGGATTTTACAAATGAGTCTGAGGTTGATGAAGTAGAAGCAGCACTTTCTAATTTGGAAGTGACCCTAGAAGGTGGAAAAGCAGACGATATTTTGGTATGAACTTTTCTGGTAACTCAGAATTGTGGCTTTGTTCTAACTGATTGACAAATTCAGATGAACTTTTTTTTAGTAGAAATGAAAGGATATTTTATCTGATTTAAAAAAATATATATATATGTGTGTGTGTGTGTGTGTGTATATGTATGCTCATCACCCGACAAGCTTCAACTTAGCAAGAACTGACTAGCTTTTCTCAGGTTAGCTTTATAAAGGACTATAAAATATTGTCATTACTACTAATGACAATATTTTTGTATTGTGTTTCTTCCTAGGGATAAGTTGGCATGGGATGAGGGAAAAACTGCCAAGGGCTCGACTTCACTAGCAAGGAACATGGTCCCTTAACTTAAGTCTAGAAAGAGCTGCCCTGACTCTTACATGGGGCTGCTATGAGAACAAAGAAAACGCTTTACAGATATATAAAGTCTTATTATCTATTTACTTTCTCATACATTGCAACTGGGCAATGTATAGATAGAAGTAAGGGCCTTTTTCTGAATCATTGTAAAACATTCCCAAACCCTTTGGACTTTAGGAAATAAACAAACAAAAATTTTTCAGTGAAACATAAAGAAATAAAACTGTTTTATCATCTCTTCCTCCTTTTCCATGAAATGTGGCTG